GGCAAAGAGACAAGTAAATTGCAAAGGGACACTGCAGGAGCACTCCTGGTTGCTGTCACTTTTCTCTCACCAGGCCAGCCTTGCGTGGCATCTGTCAGGTAGTGACTGAGCTGCAAATTCCCTCACAGAGGGGGAAATCATTCAAATGTTATGGCTTCAGGGATCTGAAGTCTGGGAAACTTCTCTGCATTTCAGGTACCCACCCCACTGGATCCCATGCAGGACAAGGAATTACCATCTGCCAGCCAGGCCACTGACACACCCCTCCTGATGGCTGCATGAGATGGAAGTCAACCCTCTTGTCATTTCCTTTTCCCTCTCACTTCTTGCCTGCCCAAAGCTGAGATCTGGCAGGTGCTGCCTTGCCTTGCAGCCATGCCACAACAAGCGTGAACAGCTTTTTTTGTTTCAAATCCATGGAGCCTCTCAAGCTGGAGTGGCCAAGTGCTGCCAGAGCACAAGCTCAGCTCTGCAGGAAGTGGGCAAGGCGCAGGCCGGGCATCTCAGTGGCCAGGCTGCAGTTGCACGACCCATTTCTGCTGCGCCCTGACAGCAGCCCCTTCCTCATGGAAACACAAAGCCCTCCCCACGAGCTGCAACAGACCCACAGGGGCAGCGATGTGGACCAAGGCATCCAAAGCAGCTCTGACAGTCTGTGTATATGGATTTTTCCTCCTGTCCATTAACCCATTTGGAATTTGTTTATTTGTAGTAAGGCTGCCTTGCAGCTCATTTACACCCTCTTAATGAGGGCCCTGCAGAGCAGATGCCTCCTGTGCATTAATTACAAGCTCCAGCACAACCCCTGCTTTACGAACCATCCTCCCACCCATGCTCCAGCTCCACTCGAAGGTTTGTACAGTTGCCTCCTGGGCTGCCAAGCCCAGCCCAGCAGACTGCAGCCCCACCGCCCGCAGCGGGACTAGAGGTGCACGTTCTTGGAGTGGGAGCAGAAATAGCAACGAAATCACTGAGCACATTGGGAAGGAATGACCATTCACAGCACATCCCTTTTATAGTAATAGGGCTGCAGAACAAGCCACTGTCGTAGCTTTGTTGGACAATAAACAGCAATATCGGGGGAAGACGATTTCCTTTTTCAGAGAAAGGGATAAAGATGTTCCATTTCATCTTTTTCCATATTCCAGGAGCTCAGTGACAGCCGCTCCATCTGCAGCAGCTGGCATAGTCTATGGCCAGCTGTCAAAGCAGTAGCAGAAATAAATGTTGGTCCAAACAAAGGCAGTGTATGTCTAAGAGATTAAAAAAAATCTCTTGCTCCTGTTAGTTGTTAGAGGCACAAATGGCAAATGGCTATCTATCATTTGTTATTTCTGGATTGGAAAAATAAGGATACAATATTAACAAACACTAGAAAAGCCTAATAAAAAATAGAAGATAACTGGAACTGAAACAAGATGCACACAGAAAGGCTAGGGTTACCATAAGAGAACATTGAGCAAATAAACAAAAATTCAACTTACCGTTAAGCAGTAAAAGTGAAAGCATCAGGGAAGAGTTGCTGGTTCAATTCATAGTTAACCCTGAGCTCCCTTCAGATTTAAAACCACGACACAAACAAACTACAGAGTCATCGATCGCTTTCTACAGCTTCCCCACCTGATCTCTTTCATCTTTAGTTTGCATTTCGAGGACAAGAAAAACACCTCTACATGTCTGAGTAACATTATATGAACTTGGTGCTGTTCAAGGTCTGCAAGCATTGCTGTCACAGGAGTTAAAGCATTGCTGAGACAGCTGCCACCCAAAACCAATCTGAACTGCAAAACTATGCTATGGATGTTCATCAGTGACATGATCAAGTCATTGACAGCAATCCACCTGAAAAAGAGACAGAAGTGGTTTGTCTGCTTTTTTGGTGGCGGGGGGAGGAGGTGGTGGAAATTACAAAGGAAGCTGCATGAACTCGCAGAGGAAGACGTGCCGTTTCTCTTCCCAATAAAAAAGGGCGTGCTACAACACCGGGACAGGAAGGCAGCTTTCTACAGCCTCAGGTGGCACATTCCACACCTGTGAATTTGCAGAGTTGATGAAACAAGAAGCAACACCCTTCGGTGTGGTGCAGGAAAACACAGAGGCCCCATACTGGATAAACATCCCTGAGTCTCCAAATTCTGTTTTGGCCAATATTACTGAGCCTATGGGGACAGTGAACAAAGAAAATGGAACAGCAGCTCTCAGGACTGAATACACCCACACTGGGCTTTGCATTGGAAATGGCCCATGCTGTGCATCTTTGGGGGTAGCTGGTAGTCAGCTCATGCCCCTGCTGATCCACAAGTGATTAGCCTCACCCAGGGCTGGCAGGGCCCATGCTCCAACACAATCTGCAGTGAAAGCATGTCACAGGACAGGAATGATGCCAAATTTTCCTCATTTGCACAACTCTGGCAGCTGGACAACTCACCATATAAGCAGGAGGCCAACATAGCTCATGCTTCAGTGACACTTCACAACACACCAAAAGCTGCTTGTCCTGACACTAATTCATTGCTGAATCAGTGTTAATTGTAACACCACATATTACACTTTGTTAGCCTGCAGTAATGCATATTTACACACACACACACACACACACACACAACTTCTCTTTTGCTTTCAGATCATTATATTCGTCTTAGCTGGGAGAAGGGGTAGTGTTGTAACAGCCATAGCTATAGAAGGGCAAGAAAATATTCCTGCTATTACATGTTACCACTTTCCTTTTATACCCTCCTTACTGCTGACTTCTTTTGACTTCAACAGGAATAACAGAACTCTCTTACCTCCTAAAATTTATAACCACCCCTTGCAAACATCCAACATATGCTGCTTCATATGTGACAACTTCCCTTTTCAATTGTGTCTGCAATTGATTCATATGATGGGAGTTAAATTCTGAACACCTCAACCTGTATTTAGCTGGAAGTTCGCTCCTTCTGTTTCACATCTAACAAAGGACAGTGTCCCCAAAGCCCTGTTTCTTCCCCACCTATTTTGTGGGTCTAATAAGAGATATTACCTCTCCCTATTACAACCTTGCAAAAAGAAAAAAGGCGCAATGGAAGTACAATTATATTCTCTTTTCTCAGTTGCTAAAAGTGTAGTTCATTATGGGAACCTGTTACACACTTTGGAAATTAACTGTCAGTTTTTGAGATTTAACACCTTCAAATTAACCTAACCATTAAAAAAGCGGGAGTATTGCCAGGACAGCCTGAAAAGCATTGACACTGCCTGGCCAGCCTGGTCAGCAGCCACAGAGCACTGCTCCTCTCTGCCTTCCAGACAGGCAGGTCCCCAGGCTCCGTGCTACCTTCACTACTTACATCAGTGACTGGTGTTCTGCTCCAAAGCAACAGAACCAGTCATCAGGCTGGTGCAAAGAGCCAACAAACCAAAAAGGCATCTTTCATCAAAGCTGGGACTGTTCATTACAAATTATTTGTCGAATTGGCAAATGCAAAGACGGCCCTGCCTGTGGATACAAAGAGCAAGAAGACAAGAGGAGAGTGCAGTACTGTACAAAACATCTCCAGGGTGTTAAGGACAAGAAAGCATGGAGAAAGAAAGATTTAAGAACAGAACACTTGACACATCGCAGTAAACTTCCCTACAGGCCTGTGGTCAATACAGAGTGCATTTAAACCACACAAACAAAGACACCAGAGTGATGGAGTGCAGAGCCCTTGAGGAAAGGGAGGAAACAGCACCAAGCAGCAGCTGAAGGTTTCCTGTGGTACGTTCTGGATTCTCTCGAAATACCTCATCGCATACGTTCCTCCAGAACACCTTGTGCCATGCCATGTACCATTTTACTATGAGTTGTCCTTGAATGTCACAGATACCATTGTGATATGACACGGGAGAGTAAGAAAGTGAGGGCAGTGTCACTGTACCATAAGCTTTGCTAAATAACTAAAAAACTATTTGTACAGACGTTTTCTGTAGTCAAGGCTCTCTTGAGATTTATTTTGAACTAGAAAAGACTAACAAACAACTTTTTCTTGTTTGCCATGCATAGAAATTCCCAAAGGAGTCTAACAGCTGAGAAAGCAACACCCAAGTGGTAGGTCTAAGTCCCTGTGCGGCTCTGAACAAGCACCACAAGTTTTTTTCCAGCCTACCTGTGGGAAATGGGGAGAAAGAAGAGACTGTCACCAGTGCAAATACACAGGATTTCCAGTTCTAACAAAATAGAGGATCCAGTTCATGTGGAAGTCTGACCATTTACCTCATGCTGGCTCTCTTCTTCAAGACCTGAGTGACTACTGTCCAATAACTTTATTTCTTGTTACCAAACTGTTCACTTTATTTTACATCAGGCTAAACACAGTATCAGCAGTAAATTCAAAAGGCTTTAATAGAATGGGAGGAATAAGATACCTCAATATAAGGGGTATGAAATGGGAAGAATTTTGCTGTGGCTTTGAGTCCTTCTCCACAACAGATCATTGCAATGATCTGTAAGTAAGCAGCATAAGCATCCAATACCATTTTGAAACAGTTTTTGTGACGTCTCAGTAATGCAAACCTCAGAAGAGCAGAACTTCTCAGTTCAAAGCCTGGGTTCAGGCTGCCAAAAGCTGCAAGGACCAGTCATGTGGGCTTACACTCCTTGCTCAGGAGGCATCAACTCAGAGCAGCAAAGGCTACAAGTGTAAATCACACATGCTCTCCAAACGGTGTCACCTCCAGCCCAGGAGGACAGAAGGGACCAGGGATCTAGAGGTCAGCTGAGTACAGAATGAGGAGATACTGCAGGAGAGCTAGGGAAAAATACCTAGGTGTCCAAAATAGCCATGTGACAATACTCAAACTCCACCAGTAATTCTGGTCTCCTTGCAAAGTTAAGAATTCTCCTGGGTTTTCCATATCTGCTTGTACAGCAGAAAGACAAGTCAGCTCCAGAAACAGACTTGAGGAAGCTGGCAAGGTTGGAGAAGATGTGGAGAAAGAGTTATTTTAAAAAGCTGTTTGTTTCTAAGTGAACATTTTGCTTAGTCCACCTGCACACCCTCAGGAAGTTCCACCACTACAGGAGCACAGTCATCGGGTTCTGCTTCAAAGTCCCATTTAAATTTCTTTGTTAGGTGAGCCTTGAATTTTTCAGCCTTTTTCCTTAGGGTCCCGTCAACAGCAGCACTGCACGTGCAGGAAAAAAACACCTAAAAGAACAGAACAGAGGTCAGTAAGAACTCAGCCATGGCACAAGCTGTGCTTCTCTTTCCCACAAAGACATAATCAACAGAGTGCAGCAGGAAAAGTTTCAGGTTAGGCCACTGGTAAGGGATCTACAACCCTGAAAACTACTCCAGCTTCGGGACTTCCTAAACAAAGCCTGCACTTCTCTCATCCCACAGCCAAGACAGACATCCTGCCTTCACCCCCAAGTCAGCACAGAAATATTCACACTAAGAACTTAGTACATATTTAATTACAAACAAAGTCATTCTGAAATACTCTTATGTGTGAGCAAAGAAAAATGTCTGAGCAGACGGGGGGAAAAAATAAAGAGGACTATCTGTTTTCATTTGCCACATAGCCGATGTCACAGCAGGTGTCAAAAAGGCCAACAGGTAATTATACCCATCTTTTTCATGGATCAGGAGATCCTCCAAAGTATTTTTGTAATATGGTATCACCAACACCTTAGGATACAAAGGAAACTTAATAATATGACCTTGAAGGTAAGAGAAGAATGAGAGCTCTCTGGAAAAAGTCCAGTTATCCCCAGCACAGCCATTTCTTAGAGCACAAGGTACTGAAATCTGGACTAACCTCTACAGGTGTCTCCCCTCCGTCATCCAAATACACACAAAAATATTAACGTTTCACAAATTCACAGCTTCTAATAGCACTTTGAGAGTAAAAGCACCTGGGTATGATTAAACAGGACATTTAGACTCAGAGCCCGTCTCTCATCAGTCTGCTTTCTACTCCCCTTCTGAACCCATGATGCAGAATTCACTTCCATAGAACAAAATTATATTTCAAAGCCAAAGAAAAATAAATTACTGCACGATGAAAGTGAAAAGAAAAACCCTCTGGGGAAAAAGCAGGCTCTTATTTGGGAGAGACCGACTGACAGCTGGAGAAAACACTGACAATGAGCAGTAAAGTTCATTGCTTTGTTTATGATCATTCGCTTTTTCCTTGTTCATTCTACCATGAAACTGCATCTTTGTAACAGAATTCCCTTACGCAGCAAGGCTGCTATTAAAAAAAAAAAAAAAGAAAGATCAAAAGATGATACTTCCCAGTTCTCCTCAATGAACTGCACATTAAATGAGTTATTTCATAATTTTTTTTTTCTTTAAACATTCTTAGGGCTGCATATTCAGTGGAGGTTATGCTGTACTACTCTTGCCTTAGATCAAACTCCAAAAATAAAGTTGGTGTATTCAAAGCTGAGCAAAAGCTAACAGAGATAATACACTCCCCCACCCCCCCACACCATTTCGTGCTTCTTCC